GGTAATATGTTTTTTACATTCATGTGAACTACAGATCCCCCTTACCATGAAATATATGTCTCCAAGATAGAAAAACGCTAGCAGTCACTGGATTCCTGCCTGCAGATACTGATCAAGTGAGCATGAATAAGCTGCTCGAGAAAATCAGTCACCTAAAATGTGATATTGCCAGCCTTGTTTAAAGAAGATATGTTTAGAAACTGCTTAAATGAGCCGCTACTTCAGAGACACAAGGAAAGAATAGAAGACTGAGGGAAACAGGCTCTCTATTGCTCAAGATGTTCCGGTATTGAAATATTTTGTCATTGTTGTTGTACTAAATACAAACAAAACCCCCCAAAAAGTATATTATATGTATCTTTATCTATATTTATATAGATAGGTGTGTGTAATAACACAGTTTCAAAGTTCCAACAGATTTAATCAGATACATTTCAAAATGTTTTGCTCCTAAATTTTGAGTTAGTTTATCATTGTCGTGGTTTAACCCCAGCTGGCAACTAAGCACCAAACTCTAAATTGATTTTTAGAAGAGATCTTTAATTTGGTGTCTTGAAGTCTGTATTTTTCTCTTGTGGGCATTTTCCTTGGCCCGAATACATTCTCCCGGATGCATTTCCAGTCGTATGATGCCTATGACACACTACTTTGGATATAGGTGAGTCTCAACCATGGTGAGGTAACTCTCCAGGAAGTTCTGCCTTCAGAGGACAGCACAGCCCTGAACCCTTGCAAGGCAATGGGCCAAGACAAAATGCACAGTTCAACATTGGTTGATTGAAATAAATATTTCAGATCCAACCCCTACTTTTCCCCTCACCAAAATAAAAATAACTTTTTTTTTTTTTAAACCCACCCAAATGGGAACAATCTGTCTTGATTTTCCTAACAGAAAATAAAATTTCAGCAAATTTTAATTTCTCAGAAAAAATATTCATTTTGTAGAATTTTTATTTTCCATGAGAAAATAAAATCATTCTCATGGAAAATCCCCAGAATCATCTGGAACAGGGGAATCTTTTGGTAATATTTTATAAAGATTTTTACAATGAACTCTACAAAACAGTGATCAAAGTAAAGCTTGCAAAATATTGGTTTATAGAAGAGTACACAAGAAGAGAAATGCAAAATACCCCAAACTCCCAAAAAACCAAAAGGCACGAAAACGTGGTCCTACAGTTAAAATGAGAACAGAGCATCCTGGATAGCATCTCTCAAAGCCTCTTCAGTCAGCAATGGCTGGAGAGATGTTCTCGCATAGGTAGCTTGCATTACTCAGCAGTCACACATCATACTGAGTCATTACTCAGTAAAGTCTAGAATATGACATCTTCCTAGATCTCTGTGTAAGAGCATGGCGTTCGAGACTTAAATGAAATAAAATTGAGAAGCAATACATGTATCTATACAACAGGACAAAATCAATGGCTAAGTGCATTTGAGAATGAAATAACAGTGTAACATATATATCTCTATACAGGCTGTATTTTGATCTTTATGCAAGTTTTTAAACAGCAGGTGAACCTCCTGATATTTCAGTGGGGATGCAAGATAAGTACAGCGTGCTACATCTCATTTCTGCTGCCTTGGTATGAAATAATAAGCAGCAAAATGCCTTTCATTCTGGATCGGAAAGGATAATGTATCCAAGAACAACCATACCTGCTCAGACTGGAAGTTCACCTAGCCCAGTACGCTATTGCACACAGTGGCCAAAAGGAGATTTTTTGGGAACAGTTTAAGAACAGAGAAAGTGTAACTTCCCTGCAGTGGCCCCCCCAGCTCCAAATATTCATCTGTGAGCCAGAGGTGATGTTTTAGCATTTTCTCTGCCTAGATAGAGTTCTCCTCCATGAACTTGCTTACTTTTCACTTGACTGATACAAGTTTAGTATCCACAACATTCTGCAACATGAAGGTCCTCAGTTTATCCCCTCTTGTGTAATGAACCATTTTTAAACACCTGCCAGCTGCTATTTCATTTGATGGCCTCTTCTTCTTGTATGGGAAAGGACAGGGAATGCCCATTCTCTCTTCATCCTGTTTCCCAGTGAAAACCTTTAAGATGTCATATCAGATCGACACACACCAGCAAAACAACAGCATGAAACTCACTTAACCTGCACAAATCAGGTAGCATCACATTGGAGTCAGAGAGGCTAAAAAAGCCCTGTCTTGCCCAATTATCAATTCCAGTTAATACAAAAATAGGATTGTTTCTCCAATACCTGTCGCTGATTTTCTGTCTCTAGTCTCAGTCTGGCTTCTACACATCTTCTGGTCTCCAGGAAGGCTTGACGTTGTGCTCTGTCTGATAGGTAGCTAATGAAGATTCCTGCGGTGTTCATACACATAAATAACACTGCCTGAGCCGCTATCTGTAACGAACAACAAATAGGATTTGATCAGACAAGAGAAGCAAAAACATCTGTTTAGAAAGGGAAAGA